CTTCACTGCTAGTTTACTGTTATGGAGAAACTCAAGTCTATTTTTGACTTACTTGCGGTTTCCCTGTAGTCTTCTACAAATGGTTTTACAACTTACATTGGCAATATTGCTGGAACAAATTTTATATTTCTCTCATTCCTTTTTTTAAGAAGTCATGTACTCTATGTTGCTTTTCCTCCTCAAACTGGGGATGGTACAACTGACCCATGTGAAAATGGGCGCAGAAGTGATTCTCATGCATCACCCGGAGATAAAAAGATAAAGTTGCAATTGTCCCAGAGGATGATTGGGCTGCTCTCACATTAGAAAGAGAATACTGGGTGGTGGGTCTAACCTGAGGGTCACCATGTCTTAGGCAAGAGGAGAGGTTAAGAAAGCAGGAACTTCATGGAAACGTCAGTTGGAGCAAGAATTGAACCTATGCTGTTGGCATCACACGACATTACAAACCAGCCGTCCAGCCAAGTGAGCTAACCCATCCCTAAATACTACTTCAATGTTATGAGGATTTCTGCCTCCACTAACCTTACAGGCAGCGAGTTCCAGATTCCCACGCCTTCTGAGCTAAAACAACATTCCTCCCCTATAAACCTTTGCCCCTTACTTTAAATCAATGCCCCCAGTCATTGATCCCTCCACCAAGGGGAAAGGTTTCTTCTTGTCTATCCTATCTATGCCCCTCTATTTTATACATCTGCAAACATGCCCCCTGAAACTCTGCTCTGTTTTAAAGGAAACCAACCCCAGCCTGTCCAATCACCCTTCATAACTGGAACCCTCCAGCCCAGGTAACACCCTGGTAAATTTCCTCTGCACCTTCTCCAGTGCAATCACATCTGTCCTATAATGTGGATTCCAGAATTGTACACAATAATGCAGCTGTGGCCTAACCAATGTTTGAAGCAGTTCCAGTATAATCTCCCCATTCTTAAACTCTATGCCTGGGCTAATAAAGGCAAGTATCTCATATGTCTTCTTAACTACTTTATCCACCTGTCCCGATACCTTAAGGGCCAGGTGTACATTCATACCAAGGTCCCTTTGATCCTCAAGACCAGGTGGGGCGACACTGGGGGCGTGAAGGGTCTTCCCACTTTTGGCCACAGCAGATACAAACTTTCTTTTAAACCGGCAGCCGTACATTTTAAAAGTTCAAAAGCCAGGAGTTGAACGCTCAGGATCCGGCTGGGAAGGTCGTGTTTGTGTTTTGGTTGTTCGGACAGATCCAAGAGGTAGCCATTTGCTGTACAAAGTCACAGCATGGTCAGCGAGGTGGCAAATTAAACTGAAGGGAGATAGTGAACTGTCACTTTCAGAAGTTTACAGTTTGCCTTTCCTGCTGATTCGGCACAATGCCTTGGCCCTATCTTCCTGCTATTGCATTGACAATGTGGCAGCTCCAATTCCAACCCTCTACCCTGATAATCAAAGAACAGATCTTATCATCTCATGGTTAGAATGCACACCGACTGACCTTGGACTGGGGCTTCCTCTCGGGTTAATTTGAGCCCACTGTCATCATTCCTGGCCGGTTTGTAACCATAGACTGCTCGCTCGCTGCGATACAGGCGCCTGAGACTGAAAAGCCAGGCCACTTGCTTGCCTGGCCTCCTCACACAGCCGCACACTGCATTCAGCATAGAAACTGACATCGCTTCTCTCGATAAACTGCAGGAGAACTGACTGCTCCGCTCACTGGCCTCAGTGAGTTTAAAAGCCAGGATCTGACGCAGCCATGTGTAGCAAGGGGATTTGAGAAGGAGTTGACGGCGCAGACACTACCTCCAAACTGTGATAGGTTCCTGCTCATGGGAGTGCTAGCAAATATAAAAACAGACCCTATAGCTCCTACTAGGCATGCTGCTCTGGCGACTGCTGTCCGACTCTGCTCCAGCGAATCAAGGGTTTTTTGACTTCGAGTCATAGGGTCATACAGCACGGAAACAAACCCTCCGAGCCAACCAGTCCAAGCCGAACATAATTTCAAACTAATCTAGTCCCACCTGCCTGCTCCTGGCTCATATCCCTCCAAACATTTCCTATCCATGTATTTATCCAAATATCTTTCAAACGTTGTAATTGTACCCACATCCACCACTTCCTCGGGAAGTTCATTCCACAGGTGAACGACCTTCTGTGTAAAACAAAAAATTACCCCTCATATCTTTTTAAAATCTCTCTTGCACTTTAAAAAAGCACCTCCTAGTCTTGAAATCTCCCATCCTAGGGAAAAGACAATGTGACAGCTACCTAAAGACAACTACCTTTAACTCTATCTATGCCCCTCATTATTTTATAAACTTTTAAGGTCACTTCTAAACCTCCTACGCTCCAGTGAAAAAAAGTCCTAGCCTATCCAGCCTTTCTTTATAACTCAAATCATCCAGTAAATCTGAACCTTCTCCAGCTGAACAATATCCTTCCTATAACTGGGTGACCAGAACTGGACACATAAATTCATAGAGTTGTACAGCATGGAAACAGACCGTTAGGTCAAACACGTCCATGCCAACCAGACATCCTAAATTAATCTAGTCCCATTTGCCAGTGTTTTGTCAATATGTTTTTAAACCCTTCCTATTCATATACCCACCCAGATGTGAGTTAAATGTTGTAATTGTACAAGCCTCCATACTTCCCCTGGCAGTTCATTCTGTAAACATATCACCCTCTGTGTGAAAAAGCCACCGCTCAGGTCCCTTTTAAATCTTTCCCCTCTTATCTGAAACCTGTGCCCTCTAGTTTTGGACTCCTCCACCCTGGGGCAAAGACCTTGACTGTTCACCCTATCCATGCCCCTCATGTGTGGAGTCATGATTTCTTTTTAAAAGCAACAGACTAGCACTGATAACAAACACAGAAGATGCAGAACATCACAATTCAGGGCTGGAGAAGAGTTAACTCAAAATATTAATTTTAAAAAATGGATGCTGGAAATCTGAAACAAAAACAGAAATTTCTGCAGAAAATCAACTGTGCAGCATCTGTGGAGAGAGTTTACATTTTCAGTTAACTCTTCTCCAGTTCTGAAGTGGGATATTCTGTATCTGTGTTTGTTTCGGATTAATGGATTTGAAATTTGTTTTTTAACTTAAGATTTGTCCCCAGCTGTGCATTAACTAATCTCAGCCACATCTGAGGGCACTATAATAGTCTCAAACAATCGTTCAACTGGAAAGATTCACTGAATCATCAGTGGAAGGAACAAAAATTGTGAAGAAAGACTGGATCAGTTAGGACTTTATTCACTGGAGCCTAGAAGAGTGAGGGGAAGGATCTCATAGAACTTCTTATAGGACGAGGCCTGGTAAACACAGGAAGGATATTCTTGATAACAGGGGAGTCCACAACCAGGGGTGTCAATCTACGGAATCAGAATTTTGGACTGAGATGAGGAGAAATTTCTTCACCTAGAGAGTGGTGAGCCTGTGGAATTCTCGAGGAAAGAAAATGGCTGGGACCATAACATTAAAAATTTTTCAGAAGGAATTAAATATAGTTCTTAGTGTTAAAGAGATCAAAGAATATGGGGAGAAAGTGGGAACAGATTACTGATGATGATGATGAATGTATTAGTCCACCAATCAAATCACATCCGGAACACAGCACCTTACAGTTGCCTTTAAAAAAAGACAGATTCTCAGCTATCTCCATATATTTTGCGAGGGTTTGGTCTGGTCCATAATATGACTAAGTCAAGCCTGAGGTCTTACAAGAGACTCTCATTTTTAAAATTCATTTGTGGGATGTGGGCATTGCTGGGCCCAGCATTTATTGCCCTGTCCCTTGTTGCCCTTTGAGAAGGTGGTGGGGAGCTGCCTTCTTGAACCGCTGCAGTCCATGTGCTGTAGGTTGACCCACAATGCCATTAGGGAGGGAATTCCACGAATTTGACCCAGTGACAGTGAACAAACAGCGATATATTTCCAAGTCAGGATGGTGAGTGGCTTGGAGATCAACTTGAAAGTGGTGGGGTTCCTATGTATCTGCTGCCCTTGTCCTCCTGGACGGAAGTGGTCATGTGTTTGGAGAGCACTGTCTGAGGATCTTTGGTGAATTTCTGCAGTGAATTTCTACTATCTTGTAGATAGTACTCACTGCTGCCACTGAGCATCGGTGCTGGAGGGAGTGGGTGCTTGTGGATGTGATGCCAATCAAGCGGGCTGCTTTGTCCTGGATGGTGTCGAGCTTCTTGAGTGTTGTTGGGGCTGCACTCATCCAGGCAAGTGGGGAGTATTCCATCACACTCCTGACTTGTGCCTTGTAAATGGTGTACAGGTTTGGGGAGTCAGGAAGTGAGTTACTCACTGCAGTATTCCTAGCCTCTGACCTGCTCTTGTAGCCATTGCATTTAAGTGGTGAGTCCGGCTGAGTTTCTGATCAATGATAACTCCCAGAATTTCAATACTTGGGGATTCAGTGATGGTAAGTCAGATGTAATAGCTAATACAGAAAGTATCCAGGTTGTGAGCAGGCTCTATTCTTCAGTCTGTTCACAAGTTCATTTGTACACAAGTCGGAGCACAATGCAGGGCAATATAAAGTAGCTGTTCCTAACTACACCCCTTCATGAGATCACATTCATAAGTACAAGCTTTTGTAAGTCAGAGGTTCATAAATTGTGGATCCCTTGTAAGTACTACAGAACAAACCTATTCTAAGTCCAAGCCTCTCTATTGGTTCAGCCTGGCAGCCTTCTTTGGCAGAGAATTCCAGCCAGTATTGTAGCATTCTGGCATGGCAAGCTTGTCCTAGCTGTGTTTTCGGGATACTCCATCGTTCTTTCATCGGCTTTCTCCAAACCCAGGAGCCGTTAACTGAACTGTGATGAACTTTGTCTTAATATTACTTTTTTTATTATTATGCATGACTTCTGTCATTGATGTGGGTGCCGTGGTAGAGCGACTTATAAAACATTTCACTGTATTTTTCACGTAATAGTAACCATGACAATAAATTGCTTTTCTATTCTATTTCTTGCCCACTTGTAATAGTACTCTAGTCTAACACCAATAAGAAGCACTGGTGGCAGAGAATCTAATCATTACAGATCGCTCTGGTGGATGTGGCTGCAACATATGCCTTGCCCACAGAGCTGATTTCTGGACAAATGCCAAATGAGGTATGGTTTACAGTTAACAGGTTTCAATTTACAGGCAAAATCAATTATCACAATCATAATTTGAACTTATTAATGCTTTCAATATCATAAAAGAATCCAAAGCAGTTCACAAGTATAATATTAAACAAAATCCAGTGCCAAAACCACGTAAATAGGTCAGGTGTCCAAATGCTTTGTCAAAGATTTAGGTTTTGATTTTAACAGAGGAAAGAGAAACAGAGGGGTTAAAAGGAGGAATCCCAGTGCCAAGAACCAATTGAAGGCATGGTTGTCAAAGGGAAAGTGGTTAAAATCAGTGTTACTTAATAGGCTAGAAGTGGAGGGTCAGAGCTGCAGAACTGGAAGAAATTTTGGAGAAATGTAAGAGCTTGATCATGGAGGAATTTGAAATTCATGACTGGAACTTTAAAATTGAGGCATTGCTTGACTAAAAGCCTGTCCGTTGAGCCTCTCTCCTCCCCTCACACACTCCCTTGCCCCTCATACATACCTTATCCCTCCTCTCGCCCTCCTTCACAACTACTCTCTCTACCCTTACATCTGCCTATCAAAACACCTCCCCTATGCTAGCTAACCTCTCCTCTCTTACGCTAAACTGTCTTCCTCCTTCACATCCCGTCCCGCCTCACTCTCTCCCTCCCTCATTCATCACTCTTTCTTTTCCTTGCTCTTCCTTCCTGCCACTGCCCAAGTCCCCCTCCCCCTAATTCCCTAACACCTCTGCAGCCCCCATCTCCACTAGCCTGCTCCAGCCACACACTCTCTCCTCCACCTCCCCTCACAATATCCTAGACACCCCATCTCACTCTCCTCCTAATCCCCTCCCTACTATCACTCAACTCCACTCCTCCTGCACCACCTCCCATTCCACCATCCCAATAACACACTCCCCCTCATCTTCCTACCACCTCCTGTATCTTCCTTATCACTTACAGCCCTCCCCCACCATCTCTCCCTCCCCTCCAACCTTCCCGCTCCCCCTTCATCTTCTCCATCTACCTTCTATCTCACCCCATCCTCTCCCTCCATCTGCCCCTCCCCTATCCACCCATCTGCCCTGCAATCTCTTACCTTCCTCCTATACCCATCCTCCCCTCAGTCCACATCCCCACATTTTCTCCCTCTATCACTGTATCGTCCCTCCTATCCCATCCTCTTCCCTTTTCCT